CTCTACAGTTCCAGACGGTTTATTAACATGATGGAGTCCATTCGGAACTAACAACATCTAAATCACAGTGGTTGGACCGTCCTAACAGCTTCCTTGCTCCGTACCTTCCCTTTGCACACCTCAAGTTGTCCTGACTCATTCAGGCTAAGTTGATGACGTACATACTCTACTGACGTCAGTCTTCTCACTCCGGCAAAAAAGGGCGGGAAAATACAATCACCCGAATGGATCGTGCAGAGATCACGCGATCAATATTGTAGCGTGAAACCATACCGACCTGACTTTCATTGCCTGTTCAGCACGTCACTGGAGACGACATGTTGGTTCGATCAAGCTATCTAACAGTGCACTACATCAAAGCACACGAGCTCAGATAATCTGATCAAAGCTCGACTCCACCTGTTTATCCTCTCTGTATTAATCACGACGCACAATCTGTGTTCGAATAGAATGAGGTGATGGAAAAGCCGATAGCATTATTTAAATGTGTAGGTATTAACGGCCTGTAAGTCTTTGACAATTGCAATTTAGGTCATAAAATATTGACATCCTGACTAAAAGTAACCACTGGTCAACCAACTCGCTTCTAATGTCATAGACTGCATGAAATTAGGAATATACTGGCATTTACAACTAAACTTAGACAAATCATTCAAAACATACGGATTCAAATGTTAAACGTAAACCTAAGGGCAAGTTTTATAATGCAAGCCCATATAAAACATAATTTCCCTTTTCTTCGATCTATCCTGGGATATAAGATGACGACTATGCTGTCCGAGGGAGATAACAATGAATGAGGCTTCTAAGCACAGGTTTCTCTTACACGCAGGTACTGTGCTTAAACGTACAACCTCACTCAGATCAGCTCAGACCAAGTATATACCAGGAACTTGCTGTCAATTTGCATATTATTATAATAATTCAACTCAGGAGGGTTGTACAACCAAGGCGTTATTGTCATTTCGAAAAGAACTGAATAAACGCTTGATTACCAAAGATAATGAAGTGCACATAACATTTCCAGCTGTCTGCGACAAAATGTTGAAAAAACTGAACACAATCCATAATGAATGTACCGTTTACAGCATTTGTCATGAAATAACTTACGCATGAACACACAATCCCTTTAGTTTGCATGGGTGGTCGCAGAGGCTTATAGTAGGAAATATAAATTTCAGATCGCTATGTGGATAATCTCACGAAAAAGTACCACAAGAAAGGTCAAAAACCTCTCGAGAACTTTGAGCCAACCCTCAGAAATTAACCCATAACAGTGAACTACATTGGAAGTATAGATGTTTATAAGAAAAACTATTATGCAGATATTGGGACAATATGAGGTCTGTCAACACAATGTGTGATAATCACTTAACGTAATACAATCCATCCACTCGTTCTGAAATTCAGAAAAGTTCCTTGCTCGTTAGAAAAGTATAATTGTGATAGAAAGATGACCAAAACTCTTGTGGAGGGCGAACAGAAGTAATATTTGCGTGCCAACCTACAATCCGAGGCAGGGTTGTTTCTGATTTACGATGTTGTTTAGTCGTCTTTTTGGCATTCACTGGAAGTAAAAATGTGTCACCGGTCGGGAATTCATGCAGCACCAATACGAATTACTGCTAGCGACGGGTTTCATGTAATTCAAATTTTGCTAATATTCAAGCGATGTTAACTCCATCTTTCGCTCGACTTGAAGTGATCGGCCTTGTGCAGCTTCGTTTCCTCTTGAGGAGTGATGCCATTTAACGCACGTGAGAGCGTTGTCATGTCATTTTGTGGTCACGGCAGAAAATCAATAATTGATGACAAAGCGCGGGAATTTTAGGCGGGAATCCCACAATGTTAATCGATGATTTCTTCTTGGCGTGTGAGATATCCCATGATAATAAACCCGGGACGAAAAAAAATTTCTCCCGCCTTTCTGTCCCGTCAGACTAACTTGTCAGGATCTAAATGACGAATGACTCTCACCAGACGAACCTACTTGGATTCACTCAGAAGCACAGAGGCCACAATTACGAATGATTCATGGTGCGTCGTACCAGCGGCGAGTCAGTGCGATAGGCTTGATTGGTGGGATGATTTAAAAACACTTAGGTCTGATCTTGTCAGAGTTGCTTCGGCTATATTAAAGATGTCTTGTACCGACTGGACATTCAAAGGCGTGCATAAGCATAACGTCGTTCACAGCACTCTGCATTCAGTTAAATACCGGTAATTTGCGTCAGTATTAGATTTCTTAACAATGAGCTGGTCTTTTGGCGTCAGTGAGCACCTACACTGCACAACGACAGATTCAACGTCATGTGTGGTCTTTCCAGAGAACCAGACTGCTATTATGAACACTGGTTTTCCTGCTGTAGACAAAACTGCGGCAAAATGCCGGCAATAATTAATCCAGGAGTCTGATAAAAGATCCTAAAAAAGCACTGTTAAATGTATAATGTGATTGGTTTAAATTTGAATGACGTCACAAAAGGGCAACAGCCAGTCAAGCAGAACTCAGTTTTGTTGCAATCGAAAGCGAATTCGCGAAGTTTTAGGTTTATTATAAAAAAAATCATCTAGGGAAATATCGCACCTAAAACAAATTTTGCGATTAATCACGGTGAATTCACGTCAGTCCAAAATCTGTTAATAATGTGCCGAAACATCTGAATCCAACCCTACTCAACCTATCATTTATTTTAAAAATACTTAATGAGGGCTGTTTTAGTGAGCCCAATATCATACTGGCTCTATAACCCTTTTCCTGCCGTTCTTCTCATAATCCTTCCATACAATGAGGCACGACAAGGTAAAATCGATCTGTCAATGGACTTCATGAGATAATTAACTTAGCTCATGACTACGCCCTCATGTGGGCATCTATGTTTACATAGTTTACTTGGTCTTCAGGACAGAAGGCATGCATGATTCAACAAGGCTTATTATACCATTCGTTTTCTTCTCTATGAATTCAGTGTTCGCTTCCAGTTGGTTCCGAGATTATGTTTCAGGGTCATTAGCCTAGGTTAGAGGAAAATGCCAGATTAATTTTATCAATACTGGCTTAGTGACTGTGATCCTCTGTGAATTATGGCGTGAGACAAAAATCGCTGTGTAGGAAGACTGTCGATTCGGCGTTGCACAACCATGGATGTGCCCTCACCCGACCCAATAACGAACGTGCTTCACGCTATAACTGAACTTGCATGTGGCACTTTATGCTCACATTCTGAACAAAACTTCCGATTTCTCATATTGTGTCGATCATCTGGATTAAACTTTTTCGACTGACTGTAAAATCATGTTTTAACGGACGACGTCCGTTTATATTTTACTATGTATTTCAAAACAGTGTCCAAAATTATTAAGTGTCCAACATTTCAAATGGAAGGTCTCCTATATTTTCTCTGAGGTTTTAAAACCACACAAGCAATTCAGAATAGTGCGCCACCAAGAGTTTGCCACGCGTTGGCCAATCACAACGTGTGAAATTTGTCGACCCTTTCCAAACACGCAATGGGTCGACAAACTGTGTGCATTGTCATTGGCCAATGCTTTGCAAACTCTTAATCGCCCGTATCGAATACCTCAATAAAAGAAAGGCACAACTCCACCATTTTGGCCTAGGAGAGTTTATTAATTTCCTTTGCAATTCCTTCAAATAATATAATTTTTTTCTTTTGAACTCAAAAACGATATTTTTGGAGTTGGGCCCTTCTTTTAATTAGGCATTCAATTAAATGTCTAAAATATGCGCTGATGGGTTCATCCGAAATGGAATATGCTATTCAACGCGCGCATTATTTGCGTTATTATTTGCGTTTTGTACTTCATGGCGGAAATGAACCCATACTAGAATTGGAAACTGGGGCAGAAACCTATATTATCTATGTCAATGTCTTTTGTAAGGTATTCCAATTGACCCTTAAAGTTTAATATCCGTCGGTTGTCGTCAGGATTTCACCGAAATAATTAGGTTGTCATGAGTGATGAGTGAGATCGAGTGTGGTGTCATTCCATTCTAAGAATTTTTTTTTAATCGCAATTACATCGTATATATAACGATGGCTGGTCTAATTTGAAGTGAGGTTTCTTGAGTATACTTAATATCATCGGATTGCAATTATTTGGATAGAGGGAGTGTTTTCCACCTCGGCAGAAAAGCCCCATATCAAAGTCTTTGCATTAAATTCATTATACAAAAACACCTGTCAACATCAATTTTTCGAACTGGAAACTTATTCAGGCCTAAGAGTCATTGATAGAGAGTAGTAGAGCACCATAATTCAATACTGTAGATAAAATCGAACCCAAGAAGACAGTGTTATAATTCAGCCAAACTTAAATTAACTACTTTACAAGAAAAGCTCAACATTTCTTTGAAAATCCCTACTTGTTTTCCCTTTCATTGGCTAAACTTTTGTCCCCAGGTTGTTGTCTGCTTTTGACCAAAAATGTCCTCTGAATGCTTAATACAGTTTATATCCACGCCATATGCTATATCTCGATCTTTATAGTTAATGACATAACTATGCTAAAGTGAACTCTTTTACTGTTGCAAGTGAGCATGAGTCATCATCAACTATCTCAATATTGATTTGCTGCTCAACGCAAATCTAGCCGTCCAGTTCCAGATCATGGCGGCTACGATGCGAAATATCGTCACTCACGTACCAGGCCATGTGCACTTGTTAAAAACCTCGACACGAGCAAAGCAAACATAGACATCTGAATGCACTGCACTCCGCTTAGCTCTCTGTCGGTCGCACAGGAAATGAAACCTTGCTCGAGAAGTCCTGTGTTTGAACCAAGCTATTACCGTTTCCCTTCTGGGAATGAATTAAAGGCGAATACCCACGCCTCTCATAAAAATGGTCTCTCTAGGGTGGCCAGATTTAAAGTGCAAAGTCGCAAACTGATGACCTAAACGACGAACACTAATGAGAAACAAGAACTCTCTTAAATAAGCCATAAATCTTCAACATAATGCAACACAAACACTGGTATAAATGACATCAAATGATTTATTCCAAATGCGAAGTAATAAATACAAACTGATTAATAAGATCGGCTGATACTCAATAGACAGCAACACACACTTTTTGACTGTACCAAAACGGCGTTTTATTTAAAAAAAAAAAAAGCTAAAAAATCATAAGCAACACCATTTTAAACAGGTTATGCATACATACACAACTGACACCGAAATTTTCATCTTTGCTGGACCCCCCCATCGAAATGGTAGAGTCCTCTGATTCAGTGGAAGATACGAACAGCAACTTTCGATGATTCCACCATCATTGCGTACAGAGGTTTTCCAAAATGTACACATTGTTATCGAAAAAGTCTCATCGTATTCTTATGCAGATTCTATGTTTAAATGGTCAGTAACATACAACACACACTGATCGAAAGTGGGTAAGAAACACGTCAGAGGGTGCTGTATAAAATATTCAAAAGGAAAACTGCGAAGCAGGTGTTCATGATTACCAAGTGCGGCAAAATATAAATGTAAGTATTTGGTCTATATAATTTAGCATAAATGAACCACACAGCGAAATGGGCTTGATTGTCCATGGTTGCCGAGTGCTGATTAAAGTGGATTTAAGGACTAATGGAGAAATGTAGGCCTTCCAATGACAACTTTCCTTTCGACTACCCCCCCCCCCGATAAAAACGATGCTTCAAAATGGGATTGGAAATTCGAGGACCCATTGCTCTCTTTTTCATCAGCGTTAAGATGAAAACCGTACTTGCGCGTTGAAGTAATCGATCCTCGTCAGACACAACAATTTAACATTTTAACATGCAGGATTTCTGTGGTGTACTTATGTCCAACTTATAGTTGGCAATTGCGGTATTCACCAGGATTAACAAACTCTGATTAAGCGAACGCCAGTTCCTGATAAGGTTTGCTAAAAATGACCTTTTCCCTGATTTAACGTTATTATGGCAGCGTCCTCCACCTTATAGGTCTCCTAAGTACATTCGGTTGAGGAACTGTTGCTATGAGTTCATATATGAGTTCATTTTCATGTCCAGCATAATACACTGGACACGAAAATGTCAATAAAATGACACTATTCTCTACAGACTTTTAAACAATGCACTAAAGTTAGTTTTCATCTGCAGCCTTTACGAGTGATTAAAAGTAAAAAATGACGAGAGTTACGATTGCATGTGGCAAGAAAATTTAATTTTCTCTTGATGTAAATGGCCTCGGCCCATTCGAGAATGGTCCAAACCTGCACGACTTCGCTTCAAATGAGACGCACTTCCAAATGAGCAACCAAAAGCTGCATTCTGCTGTCGGTCCCTTTACAAAGCCGCCGGATAACAAATATTATCTCAGAACATATGCATCATCCTGTGTACACATCTCCAGTGCACGGAACCATAACAACCACAATATTATAATGGATTGTGGCACGGACACACGAAATCTACAATTATCACAACACTGGTCACTGTGTCTTAATAACTTCCCGGTTGGTTCGGGTATCCAGATAGGGACTTGGGTAATGGACTTAATTAAGTCCTTTTGGGACAACTTCTTCATAGGTAAAGGCCGTACAGTCACTGGAGGCAATGAAATACGTCTAAGAGATATTGCTGTGAAAACAAGACGACAATTTAACAGTAATTGGCTGCATTAATGGTTTGTTTACTTGATTTTAAACCAGAGAAAATTAGAAGGAGAAAATCATATTGCTTCCTTGGATAATATTTTCGTCCCAATTAGGTTATTCATCTCGGTAGAATAAACAAACGCTATACTGGTACTTATGTGAAATAGATACTATATAACATATGAAAATTGCTTATCTCAGCTGACAGTTCCTAAAGGTCTCGTAAATTTACAAATTAGGTTAACTACCTCCTGTTCAAGCAGTGGTCTGAAATATTACACTGACCACTTCTGTAGAAACTTTAGAAACGTTATGACATCCCCTTTTGAACTGCTTCTCCAAGAGCTAGAGCGTTTCTCACCATTCTTCATAATTTTTGCTCTGGGAACTATATTGCAAAAGCCCTCTCAATTTCTAATATTTTTCAAAGGACCAAACGATAAAATACTATCTTATCTCATGCACACCTTGCTTTTGACTGCTTTACGGCCACACCTTAAAGTTTCTAAAATCAGCAATTTACTTGGCAATGGCCGATCAGAGATGCTTGTGCCATGTCAACTGACATGTTCACATCAGCATTGTGTCAACCTGAAATGCACTGTGCATTCATCTTTCATACACTTCCGCTTAACATCGGCTTCCGCGCTTTGCACAGCTGCACGACAAGGTTGTGTCCTTTTGACACTGAATAGTAGTCTGGAGACCGATTACTAAGGAATAGCCTGAGTGCAGCTCTCATTATCACAGCATTACGCTGTGGTCTACAAAACATTAAATGATATGATGCCAAGTTAGCTTTATGTATGTAAGCCAGATGATCGAAAAACACCTTTTTAAAGTTTCCTACCAATTCTTTTATGAGAATTCCCACCGATGCATGTACTTTTCAAGGTTATGCATTTAATTCAATCTTGAGTCGAAAACAAAGGGATCCTAGGGAAACTTTACTGTCCTTTATGATGGATTGTCATGGCGCCTTTATTTTTCAAATGAAAAATATAGTTCAAAGCGAGGCTGTACCTGTGTTTGAAGCAAAATAGGCAAGTTCCCATTTGATAAAGTGGATTTGGGAGGGAACGATTCAAAATGGCTACCTTGTGAATGAAACCCGTTCAGCACATCAAGTTCCAATCATTTCATCATATTGCACTGTCAAACAAACTCATAGCAGAATCGTTCAAAGTTGAGAAAAACCATTGTTAACATGGGGCCAGTTATTATGAAGGGAGGCATCCCCAACGGACAAGAGAGACGCTGAAGGGTCTCAGAATTGCAAAGAGAAGGTTAACAGACGGGGTGTTTGATTTTTTGAAAAAGTTGAAAGCTGTCCAATAAGTTTATCCTCTTCCTTCAACAGTTGGCGCCGTACAAGCAAATGCAAAAATGAGCGAACTACTTTGTAACTTTTAAAGAATTGCCTAAAACAATGGTACTCCCTTTCAAATGATTGCCATCAAACGTGTGTGATTTGTAGTCAAATGTTGGTGTCCCATGCGTACTCAGCCTTTATTGCTCTCAGTATCTCATTCAAAACATAAATTGCAAGAGATTCAGTTTTAGCGTGACGTAGTACAGTCATGTAGATACATACAGGAAACCACGTCTGCATGTTCTATACTGGTCGCAGGGAAGTATCAATGTTTAGTCAATATTTTAAGCACAACTGGGATGAACAAAGGCCAGTCGAGCAATATTACATCAAACAAACAGCAGGAAGAATATGTCCATGTAAACATGCCTTAAGCATGGCTTCCACAGACATAATCTGCCAACACTCGGTACTATTGGTCTGTAGATTTACCTTGTTTACTGGAATGCCAACCAGAGCCAAAACTTTTCAGAGGTTCTGAAAACGCAGTCTGGCTCCATCTACACGGTGGCAATTCATGCTAGCCTCTGTCACAACTGCACGTTGTGTCCATCCTGTTGGAAGGCCGAGGCGCCGAAGACGTGCTGCAGCGCGATCTGCCGGAATTCTTTGCTCACGACAAAGCACAAGATGGGGTTGATGCAGGCCTGGAAGAAGGTCATCCAGGTTGCCAGGGAGACATAGCTGTGAGGCAAGGGATTAGCCGGCTGGAACACCTGCCAGAAGCAATGGATGGTGTAAGGGAGCCATAGCACGCTGAAGGATATGCTGATGGACAGGGATAGCTTACAGAACTTCTCCTCCCGTTCGAAGTCTGACTTGGAGAGGGATGTGCTGTTATTGTTGGAGGGAGGAGCAAGACCAATCAGTGGCGGTGGAGTTGGACCTTGACGGTAGCCCAGGAACCAGTTGGCCGCTGCCTGGCCGGTAGAGCCAGGCCCATAGAAGGTCCAATTGTTGGAGACAGCGGGCACGAATTGCATGGGTCGCATCTTACGGTGAGCTCGCATGAAGAGAAACACCCTGAAGTAAGCGAAGTGAGTGAAAGCGATGACTGCCACGAAGAACATGAGGAAACACATAGTCTCGTTCGTCTTGTATTCCCGATGCTTGAATGTGCACTGGTTTTCGACCTCGATGAAAGAGTAGGTCCTGGTGTTAAAAACTGGCGGGAAGGCCATAGAAACTGCCAAGGCCCATGAGGCAAGGACCAATAGCAGACAGGCTGGCCCTTTTAGCTTCTGTCGGTGAAATCGGTGAAACCGTAGCACCACGTATCGTTCTATGCTAATCAAGAATAGAGTATACAGGGCTCCGTAGGTAAGGTACACGTTGAAAAAGGCCAGGATCTCGCAGAGGGAGTCGCTGTATATCCAATCTCGCGAGATCACAGCCGAGACCACAAAGGGAAAACACAGCACGGATCGGACGAAATCGGCCAAGGCGCAGTTGAACAGAAAGAAGTAGCAAGGTCTCCGGAGACGGGCGTTTCCGAATACCACCACGGAGAGAATACCGTTACCAACGACACTTAAGATAATCACGAGTATGAGCGAGCTGCACCATAGCACTCGAGGGCCGTGGTCGTCGGGAAGATCGACTTCGTTACCGTCGCCGGTATCGACTATGTTAGTAACCGTCTTTGACGGTATCACGACCGTGGAATCGTCCACGGTCGAATTGTCGCTACCGCCGAGGCCCAAATCCAGCGGGGTTGACATGCCGGGCGCGGACTCAGTGGTGGGTAGCGCTGCATATATCTCCGGTGGGAGGCGAGCAGGCGGCCGAACCTTGGCAGAAATGTGAAACATGGAATCCCAAGCTCCGGCAGCGATGCAAATATCAATTAACCTTCCTCGAGAAACACACACCGCAGCTACGCAGTCATCTGGTCGAGACTCCTATCGTGAAGTGACAGTCGCGTCCACATCCTTGGCAGTCTCGGTTCCACGTGAGTTAACACGGCGTCTCATGAAGAAACTACCGTTCGCCAACGACTGAAGAATCCATACCCTCTGATGTATCGTGTATCTGAAAGGAAAACCACAGACTCTTGTAACTGAATAGCGTGGTGTAATAGTCTACTGACTGAGTCAACCGGGAAATGGAACTGAAAATTGTTTTAGGGACCTGGTAGGCTTCGATAATGGCTTTCCTTCCTTGTAACCACCGTCCAATCATAAAGCTACAAACCCATGGTCCAATCAACGCGGTGACTCGGACGTGATTTGTGTTTGCTCAAGAGAAAGATACCACTCGGGGATATTGATACAAAATAGCGTCCGTGATTGCAGAGGGCCCCAACGCATGAAATTACTCCTCAAATAATGTTTGGTTTGGTTGTCAGGTGCTTGCACCCTGTAGCACCAACAGACTTACTTTGTGCGGGCAACCTGGACGTGAGACGGCAAGTAATAAAGGGTACGCCCAATCTTCATGGATGCGCAGAGGATATGAGTGCACTATCCAGCCTCTTTGAGGGGGCTTTAGTGGTGGTGTGGAAGATGAGCATTTACCTTTTAGTATTCACGTTTCACATGACATACACACTTTGAAAATTTCAAAAAACAAATTTCTTGTACCCACTTTTTAAACGTGTTTAACCACGACATGTTTATTGTTCTCCGTTTAGGAATGTGTTTAAATGTTAAGCGGATTTCAAAAAGCTAAACAGTATCACAGAAAAGCGTTTAGTATATGAACATCCTTAGGCACATTTTGCTAAACATGTCATGGATTAAACGTGTGGAATACGTTGGTATAAACAGTGTTGTTTTCACAGTGTAATGTAAATGTAAGAACAGTATTGGTCGTTGTACTCAAACTAAGGATCATTTTGAGTCTAGTACCTAAAGTCAGATTTAATCTCCCCTTTTAAAATTCCCCATTTAAAATCTGTTTCATGTTAGGAATTTTGAAATCATTTATGGACGAACCCTAATCTCCAAGTTACCGCTGATGAGCACTATCTGCATGTAATATTTTAATGCGCAATACTCTCAGAATACCGAAACTAGTTTCCAGTAGTCCTGGAAACACAGCATGCCCATTAGCTGTTTGTTTAGTGTGACGACAATCCAATGACCGGTGTCATGGCATTAAGGGAAATCACTTTCAAAGACAGCTATCTTTACACTGCAGCTTCTATGCGTGGAGCCACTGGATATATGGTATAATCATACGGATTGCATGTCCATCACTAATTTCAAGAGCACTTCACTGTGTGCTGTGTTTCTCATTCAAATCAGACAACCGTGTTACTTTCTTCTGTTTCTTGCAAAGCAAACGAGATAACCACGTGTGCTGTACGTAAAAAGAGATCGCTGAAACTGCCATTCTGTCTTTTAACAGCTGCCTTGCGTTTGGGAAAAACAGCAACAAGCAACCAACCAACTAACAAAAACAAAACTCTTATCGGTTAGAAACAATTACTCCCCGCATAGAAATAATTACCAGCTAATTCCAGGTTGGATATACCTCATTCTCTGCCAGTAAACAAAAATCTGAAACCGCTTCTCTCGGCTGTCATATCGACAATTCGGCGTAGCTTTTCCTCCTCCTGGGCACGGCGGAACCGATCCCGCCCACCCATTTCCATCCTGCCCCTTGCTGTTCATCAACAGATCGATTCTTTGTAAGACAGCAGTTGAGTAAATTAGAAAAACCTTTTCCAATTTCTTTGGACGTGTTGCTGTTTCTGAACTACCACGCTTACAGTCTGATCAAGAGCACTGTAACAATGTGCCGCCCTCAAATCGAAGAGTCTTTACATTAGTCAGGCAAGATCAATTCAGGAAACCAATCTGAACTGAATCCGCTTGCCCTGAGGAAGGTACTCAGCTAAGCTCGGCAATCCCATATTCCAGAGTACTGATTTGATATTATATTCTTATCAAAAAAACAAGTCAGGACTGATTTGAGATAAAAAAGTGATGACTACAAACGAAATATTCTGCTCGAACATAACATGCAAAAAACCAAAAGACTTCGTGAAAATACAGCTCAGGCAGGTGTAGTGCGGTAGTTAAAAACCTGTGTATCAATTATCTAATTAACGGACAATTGTCAAGCGTTAACGGCATTCATCATGCGTATTGAATACGGGCGATTCACAATAGTGCGCGTCTAAGAGTTTGCGACGCGTTGGCCAATCACGACGCGCGAAATCTGTCGAACCTTTCGAAACGCGCATTGGGTCGACAGATTTCACGCGTCGTGGTTGACCAACGCGTTGCAAACTCTTGGAGGCGCACTATTGTGAATCGCCCGTATTGCCAAACATAATAGCTACATATTTCTCAGCCTTCTCTCTGGCTTTTGGAAATTCTTAAATCAAACTCGAGTGATCATAAGAAAACCGTAATCATCATCAACTTGCTCTGCTCTTTTAGATTGTTTCCAAAGGCCCTGAACACTTCCCAGGTGTCTACCTGGGAAAAGTCAATCATTCGTTGTGTGAAGAATTGAATTGTAAGACTTTAAAACAAAATTATATTTAGTGCATCTTTCAAACGACAACTGGACTCTTTGCACCCGACGTTCAGTTTTGAATAGGACACTGAATACAGTACTGCAGCTGTTCTTTATATTGTCGGCATAATTACTTTTGGAAGGCTAAATCATGATTATGCTGTCAGACCAAACAATGATTGACAACTGAGTAAAATAAATGGTATGATAATTAACTACCTGTGTTCAGATGGCATGCACGACGACATCTTAAATGATTTATAGGGATGATTTATCACAAGAATCCGACAAAAGAAAATTGTCTAGGTGGGCCTTTTGTGGTTGTTTCTGGCAGAAGCCTCAAGTGAAGTCAAGCGAAAAGGTCACGTTTAACTTCAATGTTGCCCAGCTTACTGACGGTCGCTGGAAACTTAAGCTGACTATCAGACTCATGAAATCTGCTGGTTTTACTTTTTGCCACTAAAGCCTGTTCTGTATCCGTTTAAACTTATTTTCTCCAGACAAACAGACTGTGTGCAACTCAACAAAAGGTGTCATAGGGAGGCCCGAGCCAGCTATGAGTGATTTACGGGTCTGTAAAAACTAGCACAATGGAAGCCACTGTAAAAACCGTCAGTGTCTTAGCATTTTTGCCTCGACGTCAAACTGAGTGAAATAAAACTACTCGTAACTTATCGTAGTTTCCTCTAATGGAAACTGAAAGGGAAACAATAATCCTGAAGACTCGTTTGAGGGATTCAGTCACGTGTTGATGATCATCTTAAACACTGTCAAAATAAAATCACAGTGTTTTACTTGAAAATTGTACTTTAAAATCCCGTACAATAACAAAAACTTACTTTGGATTAATGTGGTGCCATGGATGAGGATTACTGTGAATGCAAGTACTAGGCTAAAACAGTGATTTAGCTGTCATGGGAATGAAAATGACCGTCTGTTTTACGAATACACGCACTATATGCAGGTCTATTGAGTTGGAACGCAGACCTGCTGCGAGCACTCAACTGTGGTCTTTGAAGCCAGCTGCCACGGCCGTCAAAGCCGTTTTGCTCCCCGCCAGATCGAATCACAACAAAGACCCTGTCTCGTTCTTTGTCCCCGAGGTTTTTTCCGTTGTTACCGAGAGCCATTTTACCAGAGCGATTTTCAAACTCTAATAATTCGATTCTCTAATAAATGTAGGAATACATCATTACTGAAAAACACGAGGAGGCGAGTGTATAGAGATGCGCAAGATAGTACCAGGAGATTTAATTAGGATGTCCTATTGTGTTTATGCGTGGTACGTCACAACATTGTACCAGAGGTCCGTCAATGCAGTGTGAGTGAGAAGGATGTGGTCTCGTATACGCAGCACGATGTGCGTGCGTGCTAGTTCGTAATAATGTCGACCTGGTGCACTGCCTGCCGCTGTTCCTTGGTGTATATTTGTATAAGCCGCATTCTCCACTACGCTGTGTATTGAGAAGTACCTTCAAATTGATATCCTCACCGGAAACATGAGAAAGAATCGTGCTTCATCTTCCTCTGCATAACCATCCACAACAGAAAAAAAAATCATCCGCCGATGCTTAAGCAGTACTAATCAAGGTCTAATTGTGAATTTAATTCATTTCAGTCTCTAGATAAACGTACCTGAAATGATCCAACTGCAGCTGACGTAATTGTGTATATCCTACAACTGGCTCATGCGGGATGAAGGAGGAATGTCTTTTTCTCTCCCGTGTTTCGAGGTACAGATGTTGGTTGCGTAGATACACTCTGTTCTCCGAACGTACCAGATGAGAGCTTCGATCGAGTAAGCAGGGCATGTACAATGTGCGTGGAGACGTTTGACAAAAACATATCGGGTACTGGCAAGATACGCACATGCGCATTAGAAACGCGGGCCATGCATGATTATTTTATGATCATGTATAGTGTACATGTACGCCAGACGGATTACGGATTTCTATTAAATGGCGTCAGTGAAATCTCTACGGACACAAACAGCATCAGTCTTCAAGAAGAAATTTTAGTGGACATTGCTGTTGGGAATATTTGGGAATACTATTGGGGACGAAAATCTGCGCGAACTGGGCTCCGAATTTTTTTGTCTAAATTGTCTAAATTTCTCAAGCATGTAGTAGGCGTACATAAGGCACACACCCTTTGTTTGTTTGTTTGTTTGATTGTTTTTAAATAAAAAAAACCAACAAACAAAACAAAGCAAATAACTAAGACAAAATTCATTTAATACCCTCTGACACTCTAATCTCGAAACAGGAAAATGTGTAGGCAAGATGGCATGCTCTCAGAAACAGAGAATATCGTGTGAAGAGGACGTCACGTGGCAAGAGAGAACATATTGCTATAGAATATTGCCCACGTGGCCTAACTTAACCGAATATATCTGCATCGGAGGATACCGCACAGGTTTGGGATTAAATAAAAATACATGTCTTCGGCAAGGCGATCGCTTCGTGTCATTTGTTCGATTATTGAGTGTGTGATGGTAGTTAGAGTTTATTTTTTGACTTGGATTTTTGTTTTCAATTTTTACTCTAAAATCTGGTGAATTATTCAAAAAGGCCTAAATCCCTTGAGGACACGTTCGTAAAACAATCCAGTTGTATAATTTATACTGGTTTCAACTCGTATGCCGCAATCGTTGTCAGACAGCGACTCTTTAATCTACGCTTGTTGATTCGTAAAGAAGACATTTATGTGGGGCCCAACGAACCTTCTGTGGGTCATTAAACGCGTACCTACAATTATATTATAATCGAAAACCAAAGCGTACATACGAGCATTGTTTGAAATGATCTTCTTTTGCTTCCTTCAATATGAGTGACTTGCTATTACACATCTGCTATCAGTAATGTCTAACAGTGATTAAACTTACATTATACATTGGAATTTATAATTGGTAAGCCAGTGTTATGTACCTTGAGCTCAGTCCCTTTTTGGATTTGACAGATGGATTTAAAAAATTCGTGTTTGTAATTTACAGTCTAATTCATCTGCAGCACGTTGTCACGCTGAAGATTCGTGGGCTTTGCATCGAGCTAGTTCCCAGAATTATGGGAATATTTGATTTACCGAATGTTCAGTTTGCAAAATGAGTTTTTTTTAAATGTCAACATGTTATCTACGATTTCTTAATTTCCTTTATGGTTTTGCTGCGAATAAAAAACGATCCCTTCTGGACACAAATTACGCGCACTGGCCATTCCCGGCGCCCCCTAAGAAAAAAAATCAAATTTTGTTTAGTTACGGAAAGAGATGTGAATTTCTCGTAATATGAATTGTTGGAAACTTTTTTTCAGAGTGTGGGCGATCTGGGACTTTTATTGGCAATTGCATGAGGAATGATCATAAATTAAATGAGAGTTTTATAAAGACTGTCTGACTTTGCTGGTGATGGAAGGCCTTTCTTGTACGCAATCTGCCTCGGGCAGAAGCACCCCCTCATCGGTTGAAAAGAGACATCTTGGTTTATTTTGTTGGTGGCGATGCGACCGTAACGCGTACTTTTCGTAGTCGTTTGTGAACCAGCGAGTCGCAGTTCCTACCAAAGGTTGCCTCCGTTGCTAGTGCACTCTCTTGGTCCAGCTCGGGGCCCATACATATTTGTGGCTTTACAATAGTTCATTATGACAGACAGACAGTGATGTCAGACAAAAATAGCGTGTTTTGGGTCAACTTTCTGATCCTTACAACACCTGAATTATTTGGTACGCTTACAATTTAAAATTTATTACTTCCACTTTTGCCTTTCTGGTGTCCGGTGACATAAGATAATTGGAACACATTTTATTTTTCTGATTTATTTTTTGTGTGTCGTTTGTCTAATGCTAAATAATCTTGAAGTTATTTTCCCTCCAGAACAGAATTCTATATCCACTTTGCCAAAGGTGAAAAGGAAATGAACTCGACCCAAGCCTTTAGAATAAAATTTTATTTCTCATAATATTTCAAAAGATACTCGAGTAATTAATAATAGTCGGCCTGTATGTCTTGCTTTTTTTTTGTTTTTCTGGACTGCTTCGTGTCTGCTCTACGCCTCGACGAATCATGGTTTGAGGGATTTTAGTTAAAAATATCTGAATTAGTTTCTCTCTTTCAAACAGTTTCCAATGTCAGTTTCAGATAGAGTATGTTTAATCACAAATTTACCGTAATTCTAAATGGTTATTTGACCTTTCTCAAAAATACAGGGTCGGGAACTCCGCCTACTAGTGGGGATGAGGGTATCAGATCACAAACCTTTGTCTCCCCCTCAATTATTGGACCGATATTAATGGAATCTTTCGACTAAGCTTTGAAGTACAGAGGTAAGCAATTGCTTAATGTAATCAGTATACCTGTCTAATAGGCCTCTGTCTAATACTAATGTGACAGTTATTTTGGTACAATCTCATTTGCCTTAAACTTACAATCGTCATTCATATTTAAATTAGACTAGCGCCACCAACGTTCGATTTCGGGCGCTAGTTCATTCTTCATTTTCCGGAGACGCAATTATCCCGTCTCCGTTCTTTTACAAATGGAAGCAGTAAATACATAATTTCTGAGAATGATCCTTTGATTTGAGAGTGCCACAGGAATTTTGTTGAATTCTGCACCTAGTAATGCACTGACTAAGCGTATACAAGAAGCTTTGAATGAGAATGGAACGGCAGGCGCGGAAGGGCTGCAGTTCCAAAATAACAAGTTTGTCTTGTTTATCGTTTAAATTACAAAATTGGGCTGCCGGGACATCAGTCGATTTTTAACATTTACACATTATTCATGGTGTCTATCATCATTCTGTTTACCAACCCTAGCTTTGAAATTATGGTCTACTTCCACCATTCTGATTTTGCATATTTTGCCAATCCAAGTTGGCTTCTGTCAGCGTTCCGACTTGCACTTAAACTTCAAAGTCCGTTGCATCTTGCTATTCTGCTATCACAAAGAGTGCATTGCGTCGGCAAACCATTCCCCACTTGCTTGCAGATTTCATTGTTCCCAAATTTCAGAATCAAAATCGGCACAGCGAGGTTGTTAGTGTTTTGATAGGGACCAACTCTTTTTCTGTAGCCGACCATGCAGTTGCGAGTACATTTATAAATATGGTGCTCTGAGCAGGCTTTTATAGGAATTCCGCTGGCAAACAAGGACCAGGGAATTTTTAGGAGTGGTTTTAGAAAATAAGCTAAAGAAATCCATTTTGCCATTTAATTTTTTGATCTAAGCTCCGGTACAGGATTTGAACCAAAAAAAAGGAAAAAAAAGAGGAAGACTATCCTACGTGCAGGAAAGTGCCTCAGAATAATTGACCTCTCCGCTGCATACAGTAGGCCTACATATTGATGGTTTATCAGTCTGCTACTGTTGAGTGGTCTTCCCCCAAAAGAGCTCCTCGGTAAAGATACTCTTGACACTCAGGCCATGCGAGTGTTTGTCAAAAAAACCTACCGTTTGGTCGGAAACGAAGTTCAAATTCATGGTCCAACACGATTCACGAGTAGTGTAGATCTTCTCCAACTGATAACTGGCACGGCGCATTCGATATAGAGGGATCAAGCCAACTTAGTGAACGAAATGCGCGCGACATCGGGTTAGCACGGCCAGAGCATGGTATTTTACCTGGTACAGCCATGGCTCTTTGTCTGGAATACTACACGGGGATCAGATTAGATTCAATGTCAATAAATAATTTCCTCTTCACGGGAATTCCATTGTCTTTCCTGCCGGAACACAGATAAGAGGGGATTGATTTTTCCTCTTTGTTAGTTTACAATCAATATCCTGTAGGCCAGCATGCCTACTTGTTCCTCCGGTGCTCTGCGTTTCCTCGTGGCACTTGTACCAGACCACGGTATCGACACGTGCCCTCAGAATTCCGCAGTACGGTACACGTGTAGATGTTTCCCGAGGATAGGTCCACAATATTTAGGGAGGTGGTATTTCGAGAGAAATTCCATGTCGCAGATAACAATTGCGATTCTGGAAAAACACGGACGTGCATTTAACTTTTGACAGAGGTACTGAATGTAAGCGCCATTTGAAATTTTAACACTCATAAAATATTGTATTTTTTCCTTGTGGAAGTTGTGAGTTTTACGACCAGTGAATCCACTCTTTATGCCCAGATATTTTACAGTGCCGTGCGACTACCAGTTTCAAGCGAGGAGCTACGGTACACCATCGCATTATAACCTCAGAGACTGTATTAACTTCTTTTTGCTGCCATGTACCGGTTACTTGTAAGTGATGTGCTCCAAAGTAAATGGTTTCCTTGTTTACTTTTATCCCGGACAAGTTATGCAACGCATCAATTCAAAGATAGTTCTAGTTCCCCTCCCAACCATTGCTGTGGTCAGTAAACTCTGTGTTAACAGTTCCTAACCGTTTGCATTGGACCATCAGACGATATCATTAATTATAACTGAGGATTTTTAAAAACATTTTGATAAATTTGGAGACAATTGTTTTAGTCAACGTTTCTTCACGTGGAGCTTAAAACCCAAGCTATAGATACGTCATCGGAGTTTATGCAACATCGCCTTGGGTCTTCAAGAGTGTACTAACCGCAGTCATTTGATTAATCAAAAATAATGCAGAAAGACTTGAGGCGGTGTGTTTAATTGCTGTAATTACAATTCTTACAAAAGCCTCCGGCCTCTAGATGAAATTACCTCATACCCGGGGAATTCGCTTGTACATACAGCCAAATTAAATTGCCAAAGGCGGCAGTACTCATAGTTGTGCGATGCTTTTCTTGTACATGACAGAGTTTGGTCAGTCACTGAACTCCATCAGAGTGAAGTCCATGTGCACTGGAAGCGTGTTTGATAAAACAGTTAGTCACTCACAAATTGTTTATTTCAGGGGTGGTTCCAGGATTTTTATCAAGGGGGGGGGGGCAAAATTTTTCACGGTGGGGACGTATTAGTCACCGTTGTTGAAGCCATTTAATCTCTTTTTATAGCAACCGAACAAAACCAAATAAGACCCCTAAAGGGTTTATGCTGGGAGCGGCTTGCAACCTTTAAGATGTAGACCACTGGAATAATACATAAATATAAAAAATGGCCATGAGCAAGGGGTTTGCCCCAACCTCCACCCCCTGAATCCGTGACTTCGTCTTCTCCCCAGGCGCCTGTACTATTTAATTAACAGGGCGATGCGTTCGATCAACCCCTTTGGGACAAAATAGCTCAGACCGTCGTCCGAGGGCGCCCTTCAGACAACAGTTGACCAAGCAATGCGGCAGTGGAACTTTGGCTTCCTTGCTTGAAGCCTTATAAAGATGCATCACCTTCGGGGGGGACCTTATATTCATAGGAGTAATTCTATGATAAGTCCTACTGATAGTTCATTCGCTAATTAGGTGGTTTACTTTTATCTAGACCGGCAGGGCGGGGCAGGAATTTTTCCGTGGGAAAAGGGTCAGCCCGGAGATTTTTTTAATGTTTCATTTTTGCCAATAAGCGGAAACGATTATGAAACATAACATGACAATGGTATCGGTGCATTTACTTTTTTATACCTTTTTTACGATTATTTTCCCCATTTTTAGAAACCCTTTTTGTTTTTTGTCTCAGAGCGGGGAGGGGGACCCTTACTGCGCCTACCTGATCTTTGTGCTTTTTTTTTTTAATTCTTTTTGAAATAAGGTGTTCTTAGCTGACTTCTGATAGTCAGGTCTGTTACGATCGTGTCTCAAGACAAAAAGTTACATTATCAAGGCTCAGAATCCAATGATCAATAATAACACTGTCAAGATCTGTCACATAGGCTACCGTAATACCAGCGGCACATCTTGAACACAAATTTCAATTTACTACGACCGTCAAAGGGGGCGCTATATCAAGTGGCTTTCTCAGCGTTTTTCCTGCCATTGAGTCTTCTTTTGAAGTGCTTTATGTCGTTAACCGAGTAGGCACTATTTTAGTTTGCATCAAGATTATGAGCAGTGAAAACAATTTTGATTTATTTTCATAACCCAATTAACTTCTCTGAAATACTGAATATTCACAGGCAGCTGCATTGCTCACCAGCACTTTAAGGTATTTGTGAAATTTCCTATATATTTTTAGGAAAGAAATGCATTCGTGCCCCCTTGGACCGAGTGCCAGTGAATTCACACAAGTTTCAACACTTCAAGCATGGACCGCCTGAGGTCCTGTTACTTCAAGTTTTGGCAAGACCATCCAATTTTTCCCCCACGATATTCAGTCATTAACCCTAACATTCCTGAATCCCCCATTTTTTATATGATTTTGCACACACCCCAGGGAGTTAGGGTTACCCCTCAAGTTCCCTCCATCAAGAACTCCACTTTACTGCTTGCGATGGAAAAACTCTGGGAAGATATGGGAACCCAAATTCAAGCACACAATCCACTTAGGGTTAAAGAACTTTATTAGACATTAGTTCCTTCTATAAACCATACCAATTTCTACAAATTTACAGCCCCCAGTTCACATTAACGGTTACTATTAATATGCCCAGGGCCTGATTGTGACCAGGTCTGTGAAAATGAGGAAGGCCATTTTTCGATAATTTTGTCTCAGTTTGTATACGAAATAGCAACCTTAGCTCTTTGTGATGACGGATTACTCAATTTGCCTTCCTGTGAATGTGAATGAACAATGGTAACAGTTTCATTGATTTACATGCTGCAAGGTTCTTTCAAGGGCCTGTTGCTCACATGTGGTTCTGCCGACTTGACTCATTTTAACAAAGCAGGTCACGTTTCAAGCTTTCAAAGTCTTTTCTGGTATTTTTACAACACTTAGTAATTAGGTTACAATTGTTATGTTGAATGTGAATTAAGTTTACATAAGTATTAACACTGTCAGGCATGAATCAAATATAAGACTTTAGTTTGGTATCTATATGAAAATGATTCCAATGAATATGCAAATGATTATCCACATTATGCAGGGAGGACTTATTGTGCGGCACAATTAAACATATATCACGAGGCAATTTTAACAATTCTTTTGAAAAGCCCTTGTTTTAAACCCAAATAACCATTTTACTTCAATGAACTTGTACTAAATACACTTAAGTGACTGCATTCGCATTTAAAAGATTTTCGGTTAATTTTTGACCAAAGAACTCATACATATCTTTCTTAAAACAACAATTACTGTGTGAAGCATAAATTCATGTTAGTTCATAACGAGTTTCAGACTGTTGAGGGAGCTGCAAATTTTATAAAGCAAAGCTAAGGTATGCAGGCCAATCTGGTAATTATTTGTACATGTATTATATACAGTACTAGTATCTAATTTTTCCATTACATTGAAAGTTGTTCACTTTTGCCATTCTCTGTAGTCACAACATGTAAAGGTGGCCATACAAAAACTATTTTAGAAACCTTGGTAAAGTGTCCTATGCATGCGTTAACCTTGATTCACTGAATTCCTCAACTCCATAATTACTTCCACTGGTCTTGTGCAATTTGTAAAATTATGTTCTCAGAACAATGTCCAAAGAAGTGTCGCTGGGTATAGTAATTAAGCCTATTTGACAAGGAATACACAAAGCAAAAGTATACATCTAGGAAAACCTGGAAACAATTTCCAGAAAAAACCCAACTCCTCCTTGTGATGAACTGATTAGAGAAATTAGTTTAATATCTAAACAGATAATAAACTTTTAGAGATGCTTCTAACATCAATACATGGAACTGTTTCTAAGTTGCTATGGGAACATAGCCCCCTAAAACTCCCTGGTTTTTAGTTGTAGAGAAGATTTCAGACTGTTAATGATTGGAATGTTTCTTGTAATTAAATAACAGACCAAAGCATAAAATTGTTCAACAACACGATGCTGAAAAAAAGATGAAATGAGATTTTCATTTAGGAACTAAATATGGAAAGATGTAATATATGATTGAAAATTTGCTACATTTGCAGTGCATTACAAACCTTTGTCAAACAATGTAGTAATTTTTGATTACAAACCTTTGTCAAACTATGTAGTAACATTGTACAATACTGTAAACCTTCTGAAGAACCAAAATGATCTGTTACCATGATGGAGGAATGTTCCTGAAATGAATGATACCAACAAATTGTTTAAAATGGAGAGAGATGACAAATCCTTGTTGGGGTCTGTTTTCATTGTTTTTTCTTTTCAGTTATCTTTCACTAGTGGCCCAAACTGCTGGTTTGCAAACTTTATTCCCTGTTGATTGTTTTAGTATGGTCTCGACCTACAAGCTGCAATCTGTGCCTCAAAGAAAAATACTAGGTGAAGCGAAATAGACTGAGTCTTCAAACTACCAGTGGGCAACAGTCCATTTCCAGTCTCTGAGATGCCACCCAACAGCAATGCTTGGATGAGACAAACCCAGCGAGATGTCACAGGACCTTGAACAGGACAGGACAGGACAAGACAGGAAGTGAGGTGGGAGTACAAACACATTGAACCACTGTTGATTTTGAAAAATGCTGCACGCCGACATCTTGTCCGTTGTGGATTTGTCTGTTGGTAGATCCAGAGATGATAGTTCAACCTCCCGTAACATCAATACCAAAAGTGATGCAGCTCGGATAAATTCCGATGTCCAAAGTTGAACCGGACTGGACGAATGGTCCTCCCTTTGCCACTGCACACCTTGACAGGAACAGTTTACTCGATTGAAGAACCAGACCATTTCACCCGATAGTGGAATTTTTGCAAGTCATCTGATTTCCCATTCAGGGGATGTATTTGTTTCAGGCCTATCCTATCATTTCATTTCTCAAACTTTTTGGAGCTTCCAAGAGCTTTTCTGGATGTTGACTTTGGTGAGGAATACAGCACAGCAGAATGGCAGACTGTTTTGGGGTGACCTTTTCAGAGCGCGTGAACCTGGCTTCCTCTTCTTGGATGAAGTATTCCGTCGTGTCTGTGACACTGTTTATGTTGATTCTTTGCTCATCTTTCATGTTGTTCCAAGTTGATCTGCTTGCTGCACATGATCCGTTTTATTAGTGTACAGCATTTTATCACAAAATAATCTTCATCAACTGCAGTTTAATTAAGTTTATAAAGTACTGGCTGTGCACGCACACAAGCGTACGCCATAGACGATAGATTCTTATGAAGTTATGATAACTTCAAGCTACAATGAACTATGGCTTTAGTTCTGTAAGACATCTCATCCCAGAATGTACTTATAGTTCATCAAATAAGCTTCATTTTACCGCGTAGATGCCCAACATCAGCCATGGTTGCACGTAGCTTAGGTCGCCGCCGCTCCTTTCCTCACATTGCCCAACAATCGTTACAAATTGCCTCCGGATCTTCTGCGGGCGTAGCACCCTAGACAAGCGCATATCCCCAGGATGCCGAAGATTAGCCCAAAAATGAGGGCTATAGCATCGCCTGCATCGAAGGCAGACACGACAGGAAGGCACAGAGCCATCACAAAGAGAACGAGCTGCCAGAATTCAGCCATTTTTTGATGATTCTTGTGCTCAACAAAGCCAACAGTCTTCCTTTATCAGTTGGTGCACGATAATAATGTGAGTCTGGTGCACCGTGTTCTAGTGCCCCGTATGAAGTATGCAGATAGAGGCGATGGTGAACAGACTTAACTCGTGACACTGATGAACAGTAAGCTGGTACTTTGGGAAATGTCTATCAAAAACTAGACTTGCTACAGATAACCAGCGCAGGCCATTTTTCTAAATCGTGGCCCTGTATAAAATTGCTTCGTCTTCACTCAAAAAAAATTTCACAGCGAAACATTTGACGCCAGTCGAACGCCAAGGTCATTGTTTCCCTGAAAGCCGGGGTAGGTGTTTCCGAAGACACAAATTGTGGTTCCGAGGGTAGAGGATCAGGGTACATGGTTGGATGTCTTGTTCAGCTCAACGCAATTTGCAACGAACGGGGGGGGGGTGTCGATGCACGACGTGATCGACCTTCCTCAGTTCCTCCGTCCCTGCAGTAGTCAAAATTTTCGCAATATAACTTTGTATAACAGTGGCTAAATAGGCAAAACAAACAAACGAAATAACAAGACAATCAATAATCAGTTGGACCGTTATGTTAAGTGAAAATGCTACAAATGTAAAATTCATCGCGCAATTTGGCATGGGTTGCAGTTAGTTATAGATGCAAGCATTGAAACGCGAGTGTAGATGTCCTCATCAAAAACTTAAACTGAGAAATGAATTGTGAGAGAGAACATAATTTTTCACTCGCCTTTGCTTAGTATAATTCTTTATACCAATAATGGTGGTGGAATTTAAAAAACTTTCCTCCATGCTTTATATCCTTTGCCAAGCATGCCCGGCCCGCAAGGTTTCAACACTGACCCGGATATATACAGATGCACAGGTGCAATATGCACAGCTGGCTGGCCATGCGTGACGTTTTCTGTTTTGATCACGTGATGACCCTGGCCTGTGCGCAATATAATAATAAACCCAACCATACCGGGCTGCCTGTGCGCTGCTGTGCTGAAGATATGGCGGCCTCGGAGATCCGACAGCCACAGGACCCTGAGTTGAGGGGCTTTTCTGACAACTCAGAAGATGTTGATTTCCAATCCATTTCCTCAGCTGCAGGCCTTGAGGGTACAGGAGTGCCTCTGAACACTCCTTGGACATTTTGGCTGGACAGGTTTGGAGATATTTAATCAGTTTGAACTTGTTGAAAGGAACGAGGAAGCAACATTATATATACAAATGTTCGCTGATCAACTTCGGCAGTGGTTAACTGGTTAATATTTTACTTTTTATTTTTAGTCGGCTTTCATGTGTTCACACTGTGGACCGTAGGCCCTAGTGAGATTTCAGTTGTCAGTTACTGCATATATACAAATAGTTCTTTTGTCAAGGGGACCCAAGCCCCAAATAGTCTTTGGAAACTTGGCAGGTTTTTTTCATTTTGAAGAATCGAACGTGTAACGAGGGGCTCAGAGAACTGGAAAATGGAGCTGAACTTTAATAATCATATTTCGAGGAGGGGGCTTATCTGCCTTATATAAATGTAATTTCTATGCAGATGAACTGAGCTGTTTTCTGGTGATGCTCACTGGCCACTTTGCAATGCAAGTGCTGTAGATCAGAGTGTGTTCAGCCAGTTAATTTGAAATGCCTCAGCAACAACCTCGGGCTCCAAGGTTTGCCCCTCCAAACTCGAGTTGGAGAGACAAAACATTAAACAAGGAGGCCTGTAGTTCTAGGGGTAATATTGCACATTACTAAAATAAATTTGAATCATTACACCACTTTACAAAGTGCACACAATTTCAGTAGATTACCCTTTTAATTATTAACTGTATTTTATCTGGCTTTACGACTCGTAGTTGTTGGATTTCCCACTTTCACTGCTTCTAAAATAGTAGAAAATTTTTTAAACTACCCATTACTGCATCCAAGTCTAAAATCGGCAAGTGATATTTTCCAAACCATATCCACAAATACCCATCATGAATGACCAGGTAGGACAGTTTCCTAGATTTCAGTGCATGATATCTACTTAGATACTTCTACATGTCTTGTCCACAGGTCAATTCCAAATTCAACAGCCGCTCAAGTAGAGGCCAACTTGCAGAAGATTTACACTGTTTCCACAGTTGAGGTGAACATGAACAATCTGACTTTCTCCAGATCAAGTGACTTCGACCAGCAACACTAACCCTTTTTATTTCACCATCGATTCTGTCTTAAAATATCTCCTGCTTTCTGATGGCCCCCAGCGATTTATTTAATTGGAGGGGACACAGGATATCCTTTTGCACCCTTTTCCCTTTCCTCATCTTGAACTAAACCAAAACTCTGCAATGTTCAGTGTATTTACTTTCAGCACACATTGAAAAATATTTGCACCCCCGGGTGCCCCCATCTAGAATATTCACCCCAGTTATGCCTCAAGTTGTACATTGCATGATGGTTTATGAGGAGTGTGTCTGTGGATTGGCGTCTTTTTTTTTTTGGCAGTGTTGTAGTCAAAGTCATAAGTTGATCACAAGTTGACGGGATTAACAGCAATGTGAGATCCCAATGACATCAGTGGAATTGGTCCCAATTTGATGTGTACTTGGGTTAGTCCCAGTTACTATTGAGACTGTTCCAACTGCAACAAAGTCGTTGGGAAACCCTAACAATAGGGTACACCGTCATTGATAATTACCATCATTAAAAAAGTCAAGAAAAGTACAGCAAGAAAAGTACAGCTCTTCAAGATGTTTGAAACATGTCAAACCAATTTATCTAAAGCGAATTTTTTCGCTGTTTTTCTGTTCAACATTTGGCAGTATACATGTAGGTGCATTGAGATGATGATCAAGGGGCTTAACTAGGATATGTTAGGGGATTCATTGGGAGGAATGAGTTAGGTGGCAATGGTGGTTGATTAACGATTGTACATTTTCTTATATTTTAGTAGTTGTATGTTGTACATTTACCCTGAATTTGAGCAAATACTGGATGAATTTTGCACTGCCAAAAAGATAACTCTGAAACAAAATTATTGACGTGCAATTAATTTTAAAATTTTCAGTATTTAACCTGTAACCAGAGAAGGTCAATGTGTGTAGCAAAAGACAGAAAATACTATCTATCGTAAGCTTGTGTAATTGAATTAATTTGCAGATATGCACATGAGCAGCAAGCCGTGACAGCCTTTTCTGTTCTAGTTAATTGCTTCGATTGTTCATTGAGTGCAACATCCAGTACATCCATTTTGTATACCACACTTTGATGAAGAAAATTCATGAAAAATAAAATTAAAAATGTTGGCTGTATTTCACCTTTTTTTCTCAGAAATTAATTTGTTTGATTTAGAGCAAATAAACCTCTGTGAAGATGGAAACGCAATACATGTATAAAGCCTTGCTGTACTGAGACAAGTTAATATAAATATTTCATGTACCAAGTAGTGTTTAATTACGTTCATTCACAATAAATAAAAAAAATTAGTAAATGTGTGGATTTGTTTTTCCAGAGCTTCTGGGCTGTATACAACAACATCCCCGATGTTGACAGACTTGCTTATCGGTTCAGCTATCATCTCATGAGGAACAAAATTAAACCAATGTGGTAGGTCATTTGCATAAAATGTGTCTGCTTAAACTAGTCTTGACTCAAGTCTGGATATGGTTTCTATTGCTTTTAAGCTTGCAAAGACACCTAGGCAGTGTAAATAAATGGTACAGCAACAGAAGGTGCACTCAAGATGCTGAACCAAATCCAGTCTTGGGGGAATTCAGAGGGCCTGTCTCAGAAATTCAAAGTGTACCTTGCTCATGATTTCATGTACCCTTGCATATAACTAATAAAGCCTACAGAGAGACCCACAGCGTCATTTAATGATTGAACTTGTACTGGCATGAATCACAAACGTGAATCACGCATGAGGTATGCTCGGAATTTTTCAGGCAGATCAGTCGGATTTACCAAGACTGCGCCAGTGTGGGCTGATGAAGTGCACACACAGTACTCAAGCTGAGTTTTCGTTTGAATGTGCACAAACTTGAGCATCTGGATGTGAAAATGCACTTCACTGTCAGCACAGGGTTCACCACTGGAGAAAGAGGGTTAGGTTCTTTGCTTCTGAGGTCCTATATTTCAAAGCTTTTGTAAGCCATAATGTAATTGAGGCTATGTCCAAATGAGCTGGCTATGGCTAAGAGAAGCACAGGCACCTATGGGAAGTACATGTAGTTGCAGTCACTAGACACTGGCTGCCATAGGTGTAAATGTTGTTTCTAGCCACAACCCTTACTTTAAAATGCAGCTTGATGTATGAGTCACATCACCAGTGACGAAGGCAACAACAGGGGGCGTTGTTTGGTCAATTAACAGACCCTTCTCACACAGGCCATCTTTGTTGGCAAATTACAACTATGCATGCTATGCCACCATGTGCGTGTGCACACAGTATGCGCAATGTTTTAAATGCACCAACGTTGTGTTCCATGTTTTTTCGGTATACGGCACATCTTATGTCGGTGCCAAAATTTTGACAGTGCAACTGGTACTCTGTAGGAAGTCATGCCATTTGACTTGCAAGAGACCAGATGATAGCATGGGTGTCTCTGTTGGTGTGCATTCCATCATGAACCCTTGTCCTGCAATAGCAAACATGTACGTATGTACAATCTTCGACAGACCGTTCTTACTTTGCGTACTATTTGTATGGACGGCTGAAGTGTTCAGAAATACCATCCTATCTTCTTGTCAGATTTAACCTCAAACCTTTGCACATGCTCCACTAATTTTAAAGAGTGTTGCATTTAGTTTTCAGTACTAATGTTTGTTTGAATTTATTGTTTGACATGTTTATTGTTATTGTTTGAGACGTAGTAACTCCTCTTGAAGTATTTTTTTGTGTTTGTGGTGACAACCAGACATGGTTTTGCCAGCTCCTGTGGGCCAAAAAATGACGATAACATCAGGAGATAGAGCAGACCCTGCGGAGGAGAAGTGCTTAAGAACACCGAAAGAATTGAATTTTATGTTATTTGATGAGGGACAATTTTGTGCTCTGAACTTTATCAAATCAATAGCAGCAGAGCATGTAACATTGACAGAAGATATTTGGGAATAATTAGTGTGCTGTTATTGGTCTTTCCGTTCTAAATAGACATGTTCCCAAACATTGTAACTACTAAATTTCTGGTACCAAGACACCGATTTAATGGGAAATTTGTATTTGCTGAGCTCTGTTTACTAAATCTGGAATAAACGTATTAATGCAGATTATCTTCTAGTTAGGGTATTTAAACTCACCTCGTCTTGAGCTTCAAGTAAAGGGAACAAAACTAGTAACAGGTGTTTATGAATCCGTTTCTTGATTGTGACATCCCCGATTTCAGTCCTCTCCGGAAATATCTATAATATGACAGCTGCTATTCCTGGCATCAGGTCTTTGAATAACAACCTGTTTCTTTCACATGGATTGGATCTTGATCAGCAATCCGTCGTTGGTTCTCTGACACCAAAACCCACCTAACTGATGCAGCAAACCAGTGTTGAGGCCACTGATCAAGATCCAGATCCTTGGGAATCAAACAGGCCCTCAAATGACAGAGAGTAACCATTAATGACAGACAATTATCGTGAGCACGGCGACTTGTTCAGTGTATTTACTTTCAGCACACCTTGAAAAATATATGCATCACGACTTGGTTTTGCAAAACAAAACCAAGTCGTCAGCTAAAGTGTAACCTGAGTATGTAATATGTTGCTCTTGACAGGCTTACAGCTGATCCCTAACAAATCTGTGGAAATATCTGCCTAGCAAAGGCTAGTCTGGTTCCCAGACCAAGAGATACATGTACTTTGAGAAATCTTAGGACCAGTAGCTACCAGTCGCTTAATAAAAATGGGAAGAACTCCTCCTATTTCCAAAATATTCTAAAATTGGGCGAAATGGTCTGGATCCATTATCGTTATTAGGAAATATCTAAAATGTGTAAACCACCTTTCTTCACCAATTTCCGAACATGTTGCATGATTCTGATAATTTTTTCAGCTTCTTGTCATGTCTTTAAATTGTTGCTGCCACTTTTTCATACATTTTGATAATAGTTTCTTTCAAACCGACACATACGCCCTGCATCTCAGACATCACATCATACATCCAACATTTCATCGCGTTTGTTTTTGTCAATGGTGGCTACCTGACCTAAAATTTCTACACTTCTTGAGAATAATCAGGTCCAGGAACCAGACTAAGAAAAAAGTGGTTACCCACCAAAATGTTATTTGGTGCAGATCACATGATTCCTGTTGATTCTTATACATCAGTGTCGTTGAAAACATGACGTTTGGGACATAAATGTTTCTACAACTTGGAGTTTCAGATCTTTTCCCTCTTAGTTGACCTGTTTCTCTTGCTTCGTGGTTGTAAGTTACATTTATAGACACTTGACTTTGTTGGATTGATGCGAGAGGTTCCATTGTTCTATTCTTTTTTTACTCTAGGGAAGATCCCAGCAATGCGAGTGGAGGAGACTGGAAGTTCAAAGTACCAAAGGATCAGACGGTGAGAATGTTATTGAACTTTCGAAGCTTTACTGTTTGCAGTGTAATAGGGATGTGTTTGGCAAAAAGGAGTGATTATTTCCTTGTTGGTTTTCCCTGAGGTGAAGAGTTCAGGATTCACGTAACTCTTTGGTTTTCCTGTGCACAATCTGTCTGGTGTGAGACCTGCCCCAGTTTTAGGCAGAACAGTATCGGCCTACATGTACATGGAGGCTTGTGAGAGTCCTCTTTCAGAAACTGATTCCTAAAGTATTCACATTACAATGTAGTAAGTTCACTATGAAATAATCACAGAAAGTAAACCTTGCTAACTATTAACATGATAACAGATCTTCTATGAATGGAGCTAATCACAGTACGTACTTGTACAAGTCCACTCTGGAAATAATGTTACAGTACAGATGAGGAGTACGTTGCAATTTCCTTTAGTTTTCGCTGTTACCATCGGCCTTAGAAACAAGAAAAATTGTTTGCTTATCGTCATTCATTCAGGGCCATTAAACAAAACCATTTTCTTTATAGCTCTTTGTTATTTCTGTTGAACTTGTAGGGAAAAGCATGGAAAGAGCTCCTTCTGGCTACAATAGGGGAGCGATTTTCATCTTGCATATCACCAGGTAATTGCATCGTTGACCATGTCCAGTGTGTTGCATTCAGTTTTGTTGAGTTCAGTCACTTGTTCAGACTCAAGTCTGAGTCCGATTCGAGTCACTTTTCTTTTTGTAAGACTTGAATAAATTTGCCTTTTCAACACCACCACCTTGTGTTACAATTAGGGGATGTGCATTTACAGGTATTTTTGGAACTGGTTACCTGTTTTATGTCAATACCAAGTAACCAGGTACCCTTAAAATATAAAGAACATTTAACAAATGGCATTGCATGCAATCCTGGCAGACCATGTGCCTGAAACGGGGCTGTTTTTTCTCTTTTAAAGTTCACATACATTTCATATGTGGATTTTTTTTTTGTACTAGTTACAACAAGCATGAAGAAAGTTGCATCCTCCAAATTCCTGATTTGATTACACCTGTAGCGAAGTTTTTATGGGAATAAAAATGGGGCAGATGAGTCAGGCATGTTTCACAAAATATCACAGGTCAAGTTAATGACAGAGAAACCAGATACATGTGAGTATCATTAGCATGCCAATGATGACATCTGACACAGTGTGGATAGAACAAACTCGTGACTTGAACAGTGATAACTGGGTTTCAACAATGTCCCAGGTACAGTTGAAAGAAAATCCATCATTCTGCCCTTTCCTAAATGAAGACCTGCATGCCATATCATTTAGATTGATCTGAACAAACAGGATGATTTTGCCCTCAACACCTCTAACCAAACCCTCATTCCAGTGCAGTCTGTCTCCAAATGATCCCCTTCGTTTTCACCTCCAAAATCATTTAGGTGGGAGTGCAGAGAGGGTCGTTAGATCTCAAGAAATAATTGTCCTTGTCACAACCAGTTCACTGTTTTTACCAAGCTGCCCTGAGCGGAAGCAAGAAAGGATGCATTTTTTCCAGCAAGGCAGGCTCCTTTGGTGGGAGCTACACTTCACTGGTTCACAAACTACTATGAAATGCACACATTACGGTTGCGTCGCTACCAACAACATGAACACTCCCTACCAACATGGCTTTTTTTCAACTGATGGGGGTGCTTCTGCTCAAGGTGGATAAGATAAAGCTAGGAATTCCCTTACAAATTGAAGCAGTACATAAAAGAAAAACCCTGTCAAGTGTTCCAGTCATAGGAGGATAATATCAATTATCAATTGATTCAAACTTGAATCCACTAGCCCAACTCTCCCCCCCATCAACAGTATCCCTCCACTTCTGTATTTATAGTTGTAACAATTTTGCTGACACAATTATTCCCCACTCAAACGATCTGGCCATTCAGATGACGAGATCTGTGGTGTAAGCGTCAGTATACGAAACCTCGATGTCGACATCATACAAGTGTGGAACAGGAAGGCAGGACTTAATGACATGGAAATCAACAAAGTGATTGACATGGTCAAAGAAATCTTGCAGGGCATTGAGATTAAAACTCACTTCTATAAATGTAAGTATGAGACAAGTGGGCAAAATTACAGAAGAAATTAAACTTTCCCC